GAGCCAATAACAACCCAAGCACAAAACAGAAATGCCTTATATTTCTGAATTTCCAGAGTTTATGCTTCATTCCCAAAGTCCTGACATTATTCACTATGAAGGATTTGCTTAAACTCTTTGGCAACAAAATGGTTGCAGAATATTAGGTGGTAACATGGGAAAGTGCTGCCCACCTATGGATTTTTTTTAAAAAAAAATAGAAAATAATGATTTGGTCTTCAAATCAACAACGTAATGCAGCAGACTTGTGCATAAACCATTCCATGATTTCATGTCTTGTTCCATCGCTCTTTTCCCCCTCAGTGACATTTAAAAATAAGCCATTGCCATTCTGGGGCGCAGTGGTGTTTTAAACCTAGATAGCATTGCTTCGTAATGTCACTCTTAAAGTACTTTACTGACAGATGGTCAAAGTTATAGACTTTGGAGGAAAGCGTTATTTTAAAATTAGAAATTTACAGGGTGGGTTGGATCTATATTAATCTATTACAGCTAAAACAGCAAAAAAAGTCTTGTAGCACCTTAGAAACATAAAAATTAACAAGTTTTACTTGGCTTTCATGGGCACTACTCCACTGTATCTAATGTATATATGGCAAGAGTGGAATGAATTTTTTAAAAATATTCAAAAAGTGGCAGTGAAACATGTTTTTTGAGTGTTCAAAATTCCTGATGAAAAAAATCTGATTAATTTTGTGCTAAATTTTCATGTGGCTGCTTTGTGCGGAAAGCAGCACAATTTATAATTTTATACATGTCTGTGGATATTCTATTCTATGTGTAAAGGGCTATTTTGTGAAAAAGCAATCACACAGAATAAGCCCTGAATTGCAAATAAACTTGGAAAAGTGCAGTTTTCAGACTTATTCATATTTGGAAGAAAACTGCTAAAATTGCGAGCTGTTTCTTTCAGGGAGAAACCTATTGAAGCCTTCCATCTTCAATGCAACAAGACTCTTTCCTAACTTCTTTCAATAGAGATGTATCTTCTGCATTGTGGGAATCCAGTTCCCAAGAAGCAGTGAGCAAACTCAATGTGGTTGCCTATTATTTTTTTAAAAGCATCCCTGCTAGTCTGGATGAACTTCTAGAAGTCTTTGACAGAAGCCAAATCCTTGATTGGTGTTTCTGAAATCCCACTGCAAGCTTATTTACTTTAATTTCTTACAACATTTCCCTCTCATCTTTCAACAGAAAGTGCAATCAGTGTGACTCATAAGAATACTAAAACCATTAAAAAAAACCCCAGTGGCACAAAAAATAAAGCAAATCAACATAAACGGCATCAGTTAAGATATATGGAGAGAAGACAGGATGGACACACTTCACCTGAGGTTCTAGGGCTGGTAGCCTTAGTTCTTTGGGAGGGGGAGTTAAATATCCAAAATAATTCCCCCCTCTTATCTCAGACTTTTTGCTGTCAGATCTCAGCAGTAGCTGAAATTTCCATTTATATCTTCTGATTTTTTAAAATGAATTTTTTAAGTCCAGAGGTACACAGCTGCATCTCTTCTTCTGGGACAGGATGGGTTTTTGCCTACTCCCCCCAAAGTATGAAAAGCTAGAGGAAGACCCACACTTTCCTATTTCCTTTTTTTTAAAAGCAGGGGGGAAAAAGATATTTTTTCTCTCTTTTAAAAAAAATAGGGGTAGGTAAACAGAAAGGGAGTGAAAGAGTGGCTTTATCCTTTTCCATCATCTCTCCTGAAATTGTCCAGCATACAAGGAGGCTGTGGTAAGAAAAAAATAACCTTCTCTAGACCACTAGATCTCCCAACTCTATTATTCCTTTCCACCTAATTCCAAAGAAGTGGTTCCTGTGCTAAATCAGTACCTAGCAGCTGTAATGGTCTGAATGAGAGCAAATCCAAACAAGACAGAGGTGCTCCTGGTCAGTCGTAAGACAGATCTAGGAATAGGGATTCAGCCTATGTTAGATATGGTCACACTCCCCATGAAAACACAGGTTTGCCATTTGGGTGCACTCCTGGATTTGTCTCTGAACCTGGAGGCCCAGGTATCAGCAATTTTTGCACAATTAAAGCTAGTGTACCAACTGCATCCACTCCTGGAGAAGTCAGATCTATCCACAGTGGTACATTCCTTTGTTACACCCAGTTGGACTACTGTAATGCACTTTATGTGGGGCTGCCTTCAAAAAGTGATCAGAAACTGCAGTCAGTCCAAACAGCAGTAACTAGACTGTTCACTGGGGTTTTCTATAGGCTGCCAAGATGTTTCCAGGCACAATTCAAAGTACAAATCCATATATTTGGCATACAAATCCCTGTATAGCTCCGGTCCAGGTTATTTGAAGGGCTGTATTTATGAACCTGTCAGACCCCTCTGATCTACTGGGGAAGGCCTTCTCTCTGTCCCAGCACCAACTAAAGTATGTTTGTTGGGAATATGGGAGAAGGCCTGTAGAACTGAGTCCCAAGAGAGACCATAAACACTTGGGGGTCATGGAAATAGGGTGCTATCTTGGCTGCTTAGCCCTTTCTTGGCTAAGCAGCCAAGATAGGGACCACAGCCTAGAAATCTATACAAGGAAACCTTAAAATCTATACAAGGAAACCTGGTTCTGAACTAGAATGGGTCTAAGCTGTTTATACTGCAAATATCTGTGACAATAGGGATGCTATATATAGCCCCTTCTACACTGCAATATAATCCAGATTATCAAATCAGATAATCCACATTATCTGCTTTGAACTGGATTATCTGAGTCTACACAGCCATATAATCCAGTTCAAAGCAGATAATCTGGATTCTATATGGCAGTGTGGAAGGGTCTTTCCTTGGTGATCCTATTGCCATACTTGTCAAGATTCCATTTTGCCACCACATCAGGTTCTAGAAAGATGAAAGCACCAAATCAACCCTTTCGACTGTATTCCTAGAACCTAGAAAGTACCAAGCTAACCCATCTTCGTTTGTGATATAAAGATACATGACTATCTCCTCCCACAACTTGTGTTTAGGAGGTAAAATCTTTAAAAAGAGTTTCAGAGAGTCTGTTGTAATGGGCCTTTGGAAAAACTGTATTTGGAAAAGGGGGGCTTGGAAAAATATTCTCAGGGTGAAGAATCCATCTTTCTTTTCTGAAGTATGTGAGATGCAGAATCATTTAGATGTGGTTAGATTGTAACTTCCATCATTCTTGATTATTCACTATGCTGGCCAGGGCTGATGGGAGTCCAATAGTAAGAACATCAGGAGGGCTGCACAATGTCTAGACTTGAGTAAGAAGCCGAGGGCTTCATGGCAGCAATAAGGGAGGCTATAATTGGATGGAGGCCAAATTCATCTCTTTTTCTACCTCTTCTTCTCTCTAAAATTGCTGAGAAGGGGACAGATTATTTTAATTTTAGCAGTGGTCTGAACTGACTGCTTGTTTTTCCCAGCTGTCTTTCAAATTACATTATGATTTCGGCCTCCTATGCTCCATTGTTCCACACTTGTCCTGCTTTCACGCTAAGCTTCCCCTCCAAACAGTGGATGCTCCTCTAGACAGGGAGTTTACATTATGCAGCCTTCCTGCTAATGTTGGACCGTACCTCCCAGAATTCCCCCCTGTTGGTTATGCTGGTTGTGGGGCTACTGGGACATGCAGTACAATGCCATTTGGAGGGTAGCACAAATCCCACCCTTGCTCTAAAAAGATTTGATCAAATAACAGTGAAAAGGAAGAAAAGCCAGAACTACTCCCACTCAACAACATAAAGCGCTACTCCACTGACTTCAGCATGCTTCTTTCCAAGGCAAATAAATAAATAAAAGCCTCTCCTACTTAGGTGTCATGTGTGGTCTAAGCAGTATTTAGAAAGATCTGAGTCATCTCTGCCCTACCGGAGGAGATGCAGTGGAATCACATGGGCTTTTGGAAGCAAACAGATTATGTGGCAAATGCCTTGGTTTGGGAAGTAGAGGAACTGATTTTTTTTAAAACTGTCAGCTTAGTCATCTCCCTCCTGGATGTGAGTAAAATCTCCTTATAGCTCATCAAACTCTGCCTCTAGAATGGAATTGCTGGCAAGTGTTGTGTTGCTTCAAAGTGCTGTCTGCATGATCTTCTCCACACCTATCCACTTTTATGATATGTTTGACATGGATCTAACCAAAGCATCTTCATTTACAAGGTTCACATGCAAGACCTGTGCTCAGCTTCTAAACCAGGGATGCTGCAGAAAAGTGTAAGTGCAAGTAAATGGAGAAGGAGAAAGAGTAGGATTTTAAAACAAATTTGTTACACTACTTGGAGGAATTTTTAATTTGTAGAAGTGGGACATAATCATGTCTTAAATCAATAAACATATTTGAAAGCTCGTATCCCTTGATCTTAAATATCTTCCGTCTTAATCCGAGATAATCTTAGATATACATGGCCCTTTTAAAACTCTTTGGTTTATATTGGAATATTTCCTTTCTTATTATTTCATGCTGGTTGATCCAGAACAAATAATTAATTGTCCCAACTATCATGCATATCAATGTAACTGATATAAATAAAAATCCAGTTAAGTGAATCATTTAAAAGAGAAAAAAACAATAAAGGGGACATGGGGATAAAACAAGGGTACAGTATCAGTTATAAAGGATTAGCTGAGTGCTCACAGATGAACCTATATCTGCATCAGGTCTAATAAGTATAGATATAATACATATTCTTTGCTGCATAATCATCCATTGCTCAGACAGTACAGTAGGCTCTTGCTATCCATGGAGGGTTGTTTTTAGGACCCCATGGATACAAAAACCCATGGATGCTCAATTCTTATTATATACAATGCCATAGAAAAATGTCATCCTTTATATAGAATAACAGGACCAAAATTTGTATTTTTGGATACTTGTAAAATATTTTAAAGTTATGAATTGTCGAATTTGTGGCTACAAAATCTGTGGAAGTATGGGCATGACTAGACTATAGATCTTGATTACTAAATGACTACAATTAAGTGGGACTCATATAACCCAGGGTATTGGAATCATACTACTACCTGGTAAATCAAAACTGGTTAGGTGATGGCCTCATGAAACCTGTTCAGAAGCAGGATACTCCCTCTCCCCTTCATGCCAAATCTGTAAGAATGTTACATGACGCAGTCAATCAAAACTGTTAACACACAACATTGTATACCTTTAGCATTTCACAGATGAAAATTGGTATGTATGCGACCAAATTACATCAGAGTGTGGTGAGGATGCCAAAATTATTGAGAAAAAACATACAAGTTAGGAAAGGCTGTGGCAGTTTGCTTTTGCCTGACCCTTCTGGGAATCATAGAACTGGAAGAGACCCCAAAGGCCACCCAGTCTAACTCCATTCTGGCTTTGATTAATTCTCACCCCAAAAAAAGAATTGAACCATACTTTCCCACCTGTACTCAGTAGCTAAGGAAAGTGATATTCATATGAACCATGTTTTAAGACATTTTATCTTCCACTGCTGGGCCCAGGCATGTAAGGGCTGAGTCCATATTCAAATGAAATTCTGAAACAGTGAGTCTTTCTGATCAGATATGGCATTTGTGTGCATCTACACTGTATAATGAATGCAGTTTGACAAAACTTTATCTACCACTGCTCAGTCCTGTGGAATTATGGGAGTTGAAGTTTTGAAAGGTCTTTAGCCTTCTCTGCAAAATAATGTTGCTATCTCACCAAATTATAAATCTCAAGATTCCATAGCATTGAGCTACAATTAAAGTGGTATCAAGTTGCATTAATTCTACAGTGTTACTGTACCCTAAGACCATGTGGACAAACCTTCAAGGAATCAGGCAACATTGGCAAATGTGAGCAGAGCTAAGCAGCCAAGACAGGAACCACAGCCTAGAAATCTATACAAGGAAACCTTGAGACAGAGGATATAACAACAGAGAAAAAAATCAGTCTTAAGCTTTGCTATACGGTCAATGTCTGCAAGAAAAGTAACATCATCTGTCTAATCCCTTGAATGTATATTTTCATGTTTGTGTTTACTGAGCACAGCAAGTAGCTCTCCTTACCTCCTGAGGTTTCTTCTAGGCTCACTGTCCCATTATCCGTGGTTCTTCTGTCTCATGCTTCCTTGGCATCTTATGTGAAACAGTGTTTTCTGTTGCCCAGATGAAGTCCAGGTGCTTGCTGCTTCCTCTCCCCATTCCCTCTATTCCTTTCCCAGGACTTCAGACAATCTGTCTGGGGCTGAGGCTGGGCCAGCCCTGACTTTGTTTTCCACCATTCATCCTTCTTACAGATCGGCTGCGCCACTGTGGAATTTTTACTGGCTGTAAATGCTTTATTGGATAGATTAATATGATTTAGAGCACTGCACACCTAGTAAATACCCTGTGCTATTTGCTTTAGCAATACCTGTGGAAAGGGCAACCAGGGGATCAGGCACTGTTGGAGCCAATGGTACAAGGGACCAGAGGGGGGTCTAGATGAATAATGATCAGCAGTTGTTCTTGGAGGGAGGTCCATCCAGCAAGGTGACTCCACTGGTGCATGCTACTGCTTTGTGTAGTTATGTTCTACTTCACTGACTATCAAAGCTTTTGACAACCTTTCCTGCTGAGCTTTGACCAAAAGATCTTTACAAAATGGTCGAGAAAGAGGGGGTGAGGTGAGGAAACTAAAGAAAGAAAATATGATTAAAAGGGGAGAAAGGCAGTCAATTTTCTGGTGGTCCTAAATTTGTGGCCTGTGGGTTTTTTTAATGGTGAGTTGCTGCTGCTTCTTCAATTCATTCTTTTTCTGATGTGTATTGTTGCAGCACACAGGGCGTTCATTAAATCACCATAAATTGTCAGCAGTGGAAAGGGGATAAGATTAACCAAAATCTTTGGTGTTTTAAATAAACATAAATGTTTTGACAATATGAAGAAAAGAGTATGCATGTGAAGAGTTAAAGATTTTAACCATTTGAGTAAAGTGGTTCTCCTACTCACTTACCTGAAAGCAATATAGCATCCACATTGCAGCATTATACCAGTTTGGTGCCACTTTAATTGTGGGTTCACTTTGGCAAAGCTTTAAAACACCTGATGGTAAAGGTTCTAGAAGGCTATGAGGAATAGCTGAGCGAGCTGGAGTAAGTCTACATTGGCTATATATCCAAAGTGGCTATGAAGTTGCTTTGTGGCATCCACATGACACATGGAGCCTTCTCACTGCAGAACAGAATAAAACTGCATAATATGGTTTTTTCTCTCATTAGGTAAAATTGATGGAATGCTCTGAAGTTCTGGAACAGATCCACACGTTAGACTGCATGTGAACAGCAGGTTGGTTCTGTTCATATGCACCCTGAAGTACCGCCATCCTACTTTCTCCACCCTCTGAGGCATGGGGGGAAAAGGAATGACACCTACCTATTTTTATTGCCATAGCAGTGGCTATCACTTGGTACCTTTGATGATGTCAGGAAAGTCATCTGGAGAGTAGAGATTAGGATTTTGCAATCCAGGTAAACTGTGATCCTGTTGTAGTAGAGTCTGTTGCAACACTGCAACTAGTAGTAAGGGTGTCAGAAGTGGGAAGAGGGGTGCTCACGAGTTAGATGAGGATCAACAGAGAAAGAGGATCTGGGGGATACTTATGTCACCCACTGATGAAGATTCCTTCGAAGGGTTTTCTGAGAGTCAAATGAATGAGGAGGAGGAAGGAGATACAGTGGATGTGAATAGGGGACTAAGAGGATTGCTCGGGAGCAGGAATCGGATGAGGAGCGACAGAGGAAGAGGATTCGGGATATACTTACTGCTCCCACAGAAGAAGAGGATTTTATGGGTTTTTCTGGGAATGCTGGGTCCGGGAGTGATGGGGATGAGGATGAATCACTGGATTGGACCAAAGTGCAAGAGGTTCGTGATTTGTGTACTCAACCAACGTCTAGTGACACATTTGCAGGGTTTTCTGATGGAGGGGATTGGCAATCGGGTGATACTGTGGAATCTTGGGGAGATCTAAGTCTTGGCAAGAGGTGGAAGTCAATTCATAAAATTGTTTTCCAGAGGCATGACAGGATGTAAGCTTCCTAAAAGTTTTTTTCTTGCTCTCAACAAGTTTTACGATATTAGCATAAAGATAAAGAGACAAACATGCAAGTGATTTACTAAGCTTTTGCCCATTTATCAAGGGCCACAATGAACTTTCTGGACAGTTCTGGTTCCTTAAAGAAATCTCTGGATCTTTCACATGTTGTCATGACTAAAGGGTGGTTTTCGAAATGTGAAACCCAGCTTCAAATTCATCTGGAGAATTTCTCCTTATTTTAAGTGCCACCTTAAAATTAAGGCCATCAAAATGTTATAAATAAATATCTACACCCAGGGAACATCTTGTATAACTGTTTGTACAGATTATCCATATGCATGCACATCAATGTTTTAAAATTCATATCTGTTATTCATATATTTGCTTCTATATAGTATTAAACATTGTTATGTCTCCTTGCTGTTTCTGTTTTCATTCTCACATGGTTTTTCATTTCGTAGTTATCATGTACTTTGTTTTCTTTTAAAATATATGTTTTGGATCTATTTGTGATCCACCTTGTGTTTGTTTTCAAAGGGAAAAAGTATATAATTTCAAAAAAATAAAGTAAATAAAATGTTTAAAAATTGGAATGTTTAAATGCAAATAAGAAACACATCTTCTTTCTACCAAATCATTGACTTTACACTGAAATTAAAATAAATCTAATTAATTGATCATGTTGTCTAGACCCTTTCAATCAATGGGAATTTAGACAACATTTATTAAACTTCCATTCATTCAATGGAATTATATCAGTTTGGATTACCAATTGTATTTAGCTCATTGTTGTTAGGATGGTGGAAGAGAGGAGGAGAGAGTGAATGTACAGTTTGTTTGTATAAGAAAGATATATCATTTATTGTTAGATATATAATACAAATGTTGCACACTGTTTATCAAAACCACATCACTTTGACACAGCCTCAAAATGTTTTACTTGGCACAGAAATTCAGAATTTCTATGGATGTTTTTATCAGACCATATAAATATTCAGTAAATATTGGCTGAAAACAATCTAAACATACAAATAACAATGTTTAAGAGTGTTAAATCCATTATACTTCTATAATACTATGGGACTCTGCATTTTCTCACAATAGTCTGGAAAATTATATTTGCAAATTTCATTACATTGTAGTTTGATTGTTGTATATACCCATTTATAGGTTTAGAAAATTCAGTCAAAAATAACTCTAAAACCTGTATTGACTTATCCATGAGTCAGTTTAAATACTGGGCCTCACCTTTATATGTAAAGGAATAACCCCCTCTCTGAGTAGAGTGGTGAAAGAAGAGAGCTTAGTCCATCTTAGGAAAACCTCAAAGAAGCACTGAGCTGTTCTTCTTCCTCTGCAATTGGTGCCATTTCTGGCTTTTTTGAATGCCTTAGTGAAAGTTGGGAGGGGTGCTGGTGTTTTCCCCTGTCTGTGGAATGACCCTCAACTTATCCATGAGTGATATCAAAATCCATATTTTTGGCCCCAAAACCTGTCCTTGACTGATATAGAAGGTTGACTTATACACAAGTCATATGCTACTTATATTTCCCCAATACTGTATTCATAACAGTAGTTCTCCAAAATCACATTTTATATCTATAGAACTGCAAAGTTTCTAGACGGCCTGTTATGTGAGTGATGAAACTAGATGTTTTGATATTCTACTCCAGTCTTCCCCAATTTATTGTACACCAAACGCGTTTGACTAAAATACCCATAAACATCTGAGAGACTTTGTGGACCCCAGACTAGCAATGGTATTTGTAGGCAAGTATGCAAATGGATCAAATAGAAAGATGCATGTCAGTGCCAAGTGCTCCTGTTGAGATAGGAGACATAATGCCTAAGAAAGTAGCCTGAATTCACACTAACTAAGCAGACTGACTGCATAAGCTGGGAAACGCTATGGGAGCTCTGTGTAAGGGCATCAGAGCAAAGTGGGACATGAGAATAATAAATATACAAATCTAAATGATGGATGTAATAAAGGCAGTGAAGCAAAGTGAAACACATGAACTTTATTGATAGTACTGGATTAAGTTCTAATGGGAAGAAAAATAAAGCTAATAGTTTTATCAATAACAACATTGAGTTTTTTAAAAAAATTAAATACAGTTTTTTTTAAAGCCATCAAAACTAAGACAGTGCATTGCATTAAAACCTTTCCCTGTGAATTTACAGTATTTTTCTAGAGATCTAGTGCTTATTTTTCCATGAGCATACTCTTATAGGACTCATAATATTCAACATGCTGTTTCCCTAAGGGACTGTTAGAGCAGTTACCAATGTGACATATGCAGCAATATATGTTCTTCCTACATCGAAGGGGGAGAAAAATTACATCAAAGAGGCATTTCAGATGAAAATAGAATCCATTATTATTTTTCCAACACAATGAAGAACAAGATGCAAATTTCTCAAGGAGCCATGGGAGCAAATGACCTAATGTTGTGCAAATATGATAAACTATTGCCATCTATTGGCATCCTTTGTGATCAGTCTGTGATATAGGAGCTATTTATTTCACTTCTATGCAAAGGAAGAAAGGAAGATGCAACTTCAGTGCTTCCAAGAGCTGCCATTCCAGGTTAGAGAGAAATGAAGTCAAGCATGGGCACATGTGTGTATTTGTCACATACCACCACATTTCCATTTCCAATTAACTTTGAGAATGGAAATGGATACTAGAAGAATGGAAGAATGTCACAGGATAGGATTTATTATTCCTTTTTTTAAAAGCTTGTTTTTACATTGCTGTCTTTCCCTATCTTCTGCTGTTCGCTTTTGGACTCAACATTTCCTATCTCTGCTGTGGCTTTTCTTAGAGGATGAGAAAGCAAATGCTGTCACAATCTATTACTTTACTTACTTACTTACTTACTTACTTACTTACTTAGGCGATCCCTCGTTGGACGAGTAAGATGGTCTTCCATTATGGATTTCCTTGTGGGTCCGTATGTGGCTGTGGAGCCCTATTCTTGCTCTGCATCTTCTCCTGCAGTGAGGGCATTGGTTTCCAGGTGGAAGGTGGTCCCGGTCGGGGTTGGCTTGACGCGCCTTCCTCTTGGCACGTTTCTCTCTTTCGCCCTCCATTCGTGCCTCTTCAAATTCTACAGCACTGCTGGTCACAGCTGACCTCCAGCTGGAGTGCTCAAGGGCCAGGGCTTCCCAGTTCTCAGTGTCTATGCCAGAGTTTT